GCCGCGGTGCGGGATGCACCCCGCGCCGCTCACCTGCTCCTCGGCGATGCGGTTGATGATATCCTCCATGGTTTCATGGGGGTAGCAGATTAGGACCCCCTCTAGGCAGACGGTGCGCCGCCGCAGGGCCTCCCGCACGCTGACGTCCAGGTTGTTGTAGGTCTTCTGGGCTGCCAAGTGCTGCAGAAGAGGAGGCTCCGCTCAGCGCCCTGCTGTGCTCGCACGTGTGACAGGGTCTGCCAACGCCAACAGCCACACTGCCCCGGCCCCGAGCAGGGCACAAGTCTGGCGGTGGTCAGAGCAGCGGGACCGGTGCGCACAGGGCAGACGCAGGCAGGCACATCGCGGTCTGTGCATGGGACAGATGCTCACAGCCCGTGCATCTCTCCGTGGGGCAAGTGTGCATGGCACGTGCACATCGCTGCACGAGAGAGCTGTAAGTGGCATGTGCACATCTGCGTGCAGGCAAGCGTGCACAGCACATGTGGGTCTGCACGTGGAAAAGGTGTGCCCAGGTATGTGCGTGCCGCTGGTGCACTGCCTGACGTGTGTGTCTGCACACGGGACCGATGTGCATGGCACGTGCACAAGCGGGGTGTGAGCACCCCAACTGGACGCACACAAGGCCCCCCCCCCCCCCCCCTGCCTCTGCCATGTCCCCCGTTCCCCATGCTTGTGCTGCCACGTGCGTGCAAAGACGTGCCAACATGCGATACTCACGATGACGTCAAACCTTGAGTAGAGGCCAACCACTTGCCCTGCAAAGAGACAAAGGGTCGGGGGGCTCAGCAGGGTCCCTTGGGTGACGTGCTCCCTCCAGAGCCCTGGGACAGCAGGGTGGGGGACGGGGGGCCTGGATGCTGCTGGCATCCCGTCCTGAACCCAAGGAGCCCATGTAGGACAGGACAGGGATGAAGGGTTTGCTGGAGGGATGGGGCAGGAGCCCCAGGCAGGGGGAGAAAGGGGTCACAGAGACCCTCGACCCCCTCCCCGGGTACCCGCATCATTGATGACTGGCAGCGCAGAGACGCGGCGGTCCACAAAGATCTCCAGTGCGGTGTAGATGGGGGCGGACTCGTGCACGACGGCCACGTCGCGGAAGGTGCCGACACACAGCTCCTGCACTGTCTTCTGCAGGAAGCGCGGCTTGGGGATGGTGGAGCCCTGCAGCGGGGCAGGCTGGCGGTGGGCAGAGCCCCTGTGCCACACCGAGCAAGGCACCCGCAACCCCAGCACATGCAGCCCCGCGCGCTGCGGGG